AGCATTTGTTTTGTGGCCCAGACTTGAGAATCCCTCGAGAGCTGTCTGCAGAGCAGAGCCTGTGGTTGTTTGGAAAGCAGTCCCTGGTGTTTTTTATGGGATAGCAGCATTATTTGGCTGCACCAAAGTGGGTTGGGGTGGCACTGGGAACACAAAACCCCTGCTAACCACCACCCTGGAGCACATCCATGTGTGTTTGATTGCAGTGTTTCCAAATGTGTCCTGACATTAAAAACTGGAAGGCAGGAGGTAGTGTGGCTGTATCATCTTTCATTTCACTGGCACTGAAGTTGTTATCTTGTGTAGGAGTTTGAATGCTCTGTTTTTGTTGTCTCTTTTAATGTCATTTTTGTGTATGACACTGACTCTCGTATCCAGCTGGGCGTTTGCAGCTGAGGCATTGATTCCTGCCAGGAAAGCCATGGTAGCTGATCCTGGCTGGGAGCAGCAGCTTTGAAGCCTGAGATGGGGAGAGCCCCAGGAGAGCCATGCTACTGACTACCTGCTAGATGGAATAAGAGCTATTAGAATAGTTTCGGTATCTCCTCCTTATTTTCATTACCTGCTTGCTTTTTTTATCCTTCCCTCCAGTACCACGTTTTGGAAAACCACTCCTTCCTCTTGTCTGTAATCACACTGGTGATAGCAGGGATAGCAAATGGCAAAGGGGAGACCCTGCTCAGCCCCGACCCACAGATGTGAGTGCAGCTGAAGGGCTCTTCTAGGCCAGAAGGGCAGATCCTCCTCACCAAGTTTATCCTGAGTTAGTGCCTCACCACGATCTTGGGGATTGTGGTGCATCCCACAAGCTTCTGAGCAAAGCTGGGTTGGTTTTACTCTGCTGAGAAATGTTGCAGTAATGCAGATGGTTTGCTAAACTTTAGGGTGGGTAATGGGACATTTGTTACTCAGAATTCCCACAGCAATTCCATTTGGGTGTAGGATTGGTGGGGTTTTGCTCCAAATTACAAGAGCACCTCAGTGCAGGTGTGGAAGCATTTGCTGTGCTGTGCAGCACTTCACAGGTTAATGCAGAGAAGTTGATCTCTGAAAATGCCCTAAAGGCAGGCAGGGAAATTCTGCTCCTAGGTATGAACAAAACAGGTGGAGAAGAGAATAACTCAAAACAAAACAAAACAAAAAATCACAATGATCAGGGAAAAAAAAAAAAAAAAACAGTCTGTGCCAGTCTGTGTCCCTGCTGGGGTTAACTGGGAATCCTGCCCTTCTGGAGGGTCTAGACAGATCAAAATACTGCGATCAAAACAGAAAGTGAGACCCAGAGTAACCATCTGAAAGGGAACCAGAGCTCAGAGTGATAATCTTCAGCCCAAAGCAAGCTTTGGACTCAAACACGCTCTTGGCTGCTCGACCACTTCCTTTGAGAGTGGCTGGGCTCAGAGAAGAGTGAGGCTGGAGGGTGCTGGACCCCAGGCCAAGCAGCCAAGACAAAGATGAGGGTGCAGAGTCAGCCAGTGTGAGCTGGGCATCAGGGAGAAAAATGCCATGAAAGCAGTCAGCACCCCACCCTAAGTGTCACCAGAGGAGGGTTTTTATCCAGAGGGAGCAGCGACAGCAGTGCTAGCTCAGGTGCCTGTTCCATGGACAAGGAGGCAGTGTTTGAGCAGGACATGAACAGGATTTTATCTGGAGCACAAAGGGGAGAATTGCTACACCCCAGCTGAATGTTCGTGAGCACACCGTTGTGCTTCCAGGGAGCCTTGATTCATTTCAAAAGAATAAACATTAAAAGTAAAATTTCAGGCCGCTACAAGAGTGAGTTATCCCTGTGAAGGGAAGAAGTATGTTAACAGCTAAGTGGAAAGAAAAAGCGTGAAAGAATAGAGGCAAAAGAGTATCTGTGACTGGGTTCAGTTTAAAAAGTATCTGTGACTGGGTTCTGTATGTATCAAAACTCTTGCTCATGATAAAAAGTGTCTGTAGTGCTCTAATGATTCGGGAAAGACTTCAGTTACCTGGCAGTTCATGTCCCGGGGAGCTTCCCCTTCTCCAAAGACAGACAGTGCACGAATTCATGGCTTGCAAGCGGGATAACTGAGAGAGTGAGTGTCACCCTTAGGTCTGGGGAGAGAGGATGAGGGAGTTCTTGGACTCTGTGTCTGCTGAAAGCAGATTAATATATGTCTATATGTCGCCATGACATATTTTATAAAAATCCTTTTGATAGGATTTTCTCCTGAGAAGCTGAGGCGCCTCAGGAAAGAAATGTAAGCAATAACTATCTGCTGCTGTGGAATGCAACAAGTGCATCTTTGATCCATGTGAGATGTTTCTACTTAATGACCAATCATGGTCCAGCTGTGTGGACTCTCTGAGAATCACAAGCTTTTGTTATCATTCCTTTCCTTTCCTTTCTAGCCTTCTGGAGGATCCTTTTTGTCTATTCTTTTTATTACAGTTTTAATATAGCATTTTAATATAATATAATATCATAATATAATAAATCAGCCTTCTGAAACATGGAGTTAAGATTCTCATCTCTTCCCTCATCCTGGGACCCTCTAACAACACCATATCTATACATATATATTTGTTTATGTACCTAAAGGAAACATTTTCTATTACCAGAAAATGCAAGTGTTTAGGATTGGATGAAACAGGAACAAAATGTTTTTTAGGTTAGAAGGTATCTGGCAAATGTCCATAAAAGAGTCAGCTACAATTTTGCACATGGCTGACAAACACAATGACAAACTTTCCCAGTAGTGTTGATTATTATGGCCAGAGAGCAGGGTCAGAATAGGAATGTACACTGTCAGTAAACAGTGGCCAAACCAGCCCAGTATGATTTGCTATTGCTGAGCTGAGGAGAGGGTTTGTATTGAACAGGCTTGCAGCTCCCACTGCATCCTCAATGATAATACTTAATGTGTTGCTTGGAAACCTGTTTTTGTCTTTTTAAAATTGTAAAATAAATATCAGAGACTAACTAAAATAATTTATTAAAGGTTCTGATGAACTCTAGGAGGAGGACAGCTTTCTAAACTGTTAATGGGACATCATTAAAGGCTGCAGCTGTTGCTCCTGCTACAGAATTCACAGAATTCACAGAACCACTGGGTTGGAAGAGACCTTCAAGATCATCGAGTCCAACCCAGCCCCAACACCCCAACTAAACCCTGGCACCCAGTGCCACATCCAGGCTTTGTTAAACACACCCAGGGATGGGGACTGCACCACCTCCCCGGGCAGCCATGCCAGAGCTTTATCACTCTTTAAGTGAAAAACTTTTTCCCAATCTCCAACCTGTATTTCCCTTGGTGCAGCTGGAGGCTGTGTGCTCTGGCTGTGTCAGTGCTGCCTGGAGACAGAGCCCAGCCCCAGCTGAGCACAGGCACCTTTCAGGAGCTGTGCAGAGTGAGGAGGGCACCCCTGAGTCTCCTTTTCTCCAGGTGAGCATCCCCAGCTACATTAGCAAATGCCAGGGTAAGGACAGCTGTAGTATTGAATAACTCATAAATTGCTCCTGCTTGTACAGATTAGCTGGGATTGTGTCTAGCAGTGGGAGCCAAGTGGTTTCCAAGTTCTTCCCTGCCTGCCCTGCTGTCAGCAGAACATGAGCCAGATCCCCACAGGCCCCAGGACCTGAGAATTCAAAAGCAGGAGCTGGGGCTTCTTCACTCAGCCAGAACTCCCTTCCCACGGGAGCATTGATGAGCTATTGCTGTGCTGGAAATTCCCCAGGCCAGTCTTTGTGCAGCAATGAGCCTGTGAACGTGGGACAACGATACACTGCGGGCTGGCCCCAATCTCCTCATCGATCTCCCCTGTCTGCCTGAACAAAGGCCCAGCCTGACACAGACAGGTGAGGGCAGCACATCTGAATAGCTTGACACGAAGCAAAATGACTGCAGCCCTATCTCTCTTTGTCAAGTGTGTGAGTGGTGTTAAACAGACAGTGAAACCTGCCTGGGCTATAGCAGCATGGAACTCCAGGGCTTTGTTAGCTGCCCGAGGAGGGAAGGGGAAAAAAGCAGAGTGCATTTGAATGCCTTGCAGGCTCTGAACCTGGAATAGTAAGCTAGAAATAACAAGATTGCTATTATATATCATAATGGCCAAAAGCTTAGCAGGAATCAAAAAGGATTACTACTTCATAAAGTCAGAGTGAATATGAGGAGTTGTTGCTGTTTCTTGAAACAAAAGTGGATTGAGGGAGCTATAAAGCCACCTGCTCAGTACATAAACAGTCCTCGAGGGATGGAAGGTAGAAGGAGGCTTGCCATTGGGAATTAGAGAATTCTACATTGTAGGATATCCCAAAAAGAGGTCATAGAATACCAGAATGGTTTGAGTTGGAAGGAAACTTAAAGCCCATCCAGTTTCAACCCCCTGCCATGGCAGGGACACCTTCCACTGTCCCAGGCTGCTCCAAGCCCTGTCCAACCTGGCCTTGGGCACTGCCAGGGATCCAGGGGCAGCCACAGCTGCTCTGGACACCCTGTGCCAGGGCCTCACCAGGTCCTTATGTGGACATCAAGATATGATGGAGGGCCAAAAAAAGGGATGTTCAAGATTCTTTTTGGCCTAAATAGCTTTTTGCACCCTGAAACTGTTCCCACAGGCACCTGACACCATTACCACCTGCTCGTGCTCTCCTCCACTGCAGCCACTGTTTGGCCCAAGCAAAGAATTCGTGTTTCACTTTGGTGGCTGAAGGAGAAACCACCTGCTGCCCAATATTCAGCACATTAAAAATTAATTCTAGAGTGGATATTTTATTAGTTACTCCTTTTCCTAAAGAGTGACATGATTGAAATCTACACTTTCACCCAGATTGATCCTGATTTACTCAATTAAACCAACAGAGCACATGGCCAGCCTCTTGCCCCCGCAGTGACTTTCAGTAGCCACTGCCCCTGCTACTGCTGTGCCAGGAGCTGTGTGTGATTCTGACTTTGCTCTACTCTTCCCTTTTTATTTATTGCTGACATTCAAGGCCCTGGGGTCTCTAATCTCCCTTTCTCTCTCCCTCCCAGTGTCTACCAGCTCGTTGTCAAGGAGGAGAAGCTGCAGAAAGCCCGGAGAGCTGCAGACATCATCGAGTGCTTCTCTGTGCCAGTGAGCTACAAGAATGCCTCCAGTCTGGACTCCCCACACTACTTTGCAGCTGAGCTGAAGCCCATCAACCTTCCTGTCACACAGCCCTTCACCGTGGGTGACAACAAGACCTACAATGGCTACTGGAATGCTCCTCTTTCCCCCCTGAAAAGCTACAGCATATACTTCCAGGCTCTTAGCAAGGCCAATGGAGTAAGTGCAGGGAAAATTGAGCTGTATCTGTAGGTGTGACTGCCTCTCTCTGTCCTCCTCATCATTCTCCTTCCTTCTCGATTGGATGCTGGTTTAACTTCTCCTTCTTATTACCCTCTTACAGAAATCTGATGAAAATCAAGCATGCCGTTACTTGTCCTTCACTCAAATCTCTCTCTGATGCTCAGATCCATTGAGAAATCTGTTGAGGACCCTGATTCTGTAAAGGCACATGTTGCCATGTGATTTACTAAATGAGCTGCTTAGAATTTAGATACTTTTTGGGTTTTTTTTTTAATCCTTCAATAAGCATGAATGTCAGAGTAGGGGCTATTGTGCTTTTAAGAGCCATAATTGCAGTATCTTGATAGTTCACAGTGCTTGTGATTTTGGATGAGATGTTATGAATTTGGATTACCTTGGAGCTTGCACTTGGCCATATCCTAATGCAGCCCTTGTGGTTGGGAGTTCCAGCTTGAGGAAGTCAGGTACTGCAGTGGGGACTGTCTGCATCTCTGTCCTGCCCCTCTGCAATTCTATATTTTTATGTATCTTTATTCTGTGATATCTGATTTAAAATGCAGACTGCACAGGAAATGTAGCCCACCTCATTCTCAGACTCAAATGACACACACAATGCCACAACACACCCCATCCCACCACAGGAAAACAGGAGGCATCTCTTCCCTCTTCTCTTCCAGCTGAGGATAATTTGTGACCTTTTACCTCTCCTGTTTCAGGCTAGATCCAGCCTCAGTGGATCATCTTCCTCCCTTTGGCTCCCCAGCTGTTTTCCATTCACACAGAACACAAGAGAATTTGCCACTCTGGCCTCCTGAAGAGCCTTAGAGCATTAACAAGGCATCACAAATTTGGGTAGCAGAGTCTGCTATTATTAGCATGTTTGCCAGTGCTTTCAGAAATTTAATTTTAACATAGATAAATTCTCTACAATATCACCCCTGAGAGAGAAAAAATTACAAAAATCAGTCAAAGGTGACTAGTGCAGGCTTTAGTGGCTTTTACACCTGAAATGCAGCTGCACATTGCAGAGGACTGGGATGGTTTCACAGGCTGGCAGTGCCAACGAGTGTTCACAACACATCTGAGTGCTTTGCACCCTTCATTTATCACCATTTTCCTGCAGAGTTTCAGCTGTGTGGCTGACAAGTACAAAATCTCTTCAACACTGTGCTGATTTTCACCTTGGTTTCCTTTCTAGTCAATACAGTTTCCTTCCAGCACTGCTCAATTAATTCAGTTTTGGATTTGCCTTTATAAAAGAAAGTGTGAATGTATGTATATGTCTCTCTGTTTCTAGTTAGCTCCCCCATGTGTGATAGTTAATTACTAATGAATCCCCAGAGAAGAAGAAATTTTATTTGCTTAAGTACAATATAATGTTCCAGAAAGGGGAAGTGCAGGCTTCCCTTGGTGTTCTGGATTCAGGCAGCACTGGTGTTCCTGCTTTTCCTGCATCTCATCCTACATTCCAGGTGTTAAGGACTCAAAAAAGAATGACTTGCTTGGGCTGTCCTAACAGAAGGGCTTTTTAAGCAGAAGTTAATCAAATAGTCTTAAATGCTACAATGCACAGTTCCTGGCAGGATGAGAAGTGTCCAGCCAGACACAGTAAACTCCTGTTTGAGAAAGCAATTTCCTCCTGTGATAATAATTTATATTTCTACAGGATATGTTTTATATATCCTCAAAGTGTAGTGCTGTGGGTAAAAGTACAGAGGAAATGCCCAAGAGTGGAATATGGATCTTCAGAGGTGTAGCTTCTGTTCTGATCCCCTCTGGTTTGTGGTAAATTCATTAAGGCCCACATTTCAAACATGAAGATCAATTTGCATCCACTCTTTTGCAGCTGTAAATAGCAGGTTTTTGCTCCATTCTCAGAATTATTTGCAGGTATCATTTGTATTTTAGAGTTCTGAGTTTTTACTTTTCCGTAACCTGAGCAGCTTTGACTGGTCTTGGTAAATCCTACAAATAATTATGGCTGAAACATGGCATTTCCATCCCTGGAAGTGTCCAAGGCCAGCTTGGATGGGATTTGGAGCAATCTGGGATAGTGGAAGGTGTCCCTGCCATGGCAGGGCACTGGAACTGGATGGTCTTTAAAGTCACTTGCAACCCAAACCATTCTGTGATTTTTGATAAGGCACATCTGCAAAAAACCTGCAACAATAACAATTTAGCATGGTTAAAGTAGAGCCTTATGTTCCCTCACACATGAAAAAACTTAATAGAACATTACTACTCATTTTTTAATTAGGATATTCCATAGTTTCATTAATCACTGACAGTTGTGGAAAGATGAAATTTCTTTCCACACCTGGAAGCTGCAATGAGAAGCCTTCATGCAGTGAACCAGAACATCTTCCTTTGGAAACAGAGGGCTCTGGGGAGAACTTAATTTCCAGAGAGCCTGGATTTGGTCAAAAAGCTTGATTAGGAGAAGGTTAGGAGTGTTGTAGGAGTTCTGCATTGTTTGAGCTCCTCTGTACATGGAGGGTTGTGCTCATTTGGTGTTCCCGTCTGCTCTGCAGCCATTAGCTCTGATTGTTACACTGAAAGGAACATAATTAACAGCTGGATGCAAAACAAGTGTGGCAAATTGCTGCAGAAGCAGATCACCAGCTCTTCTGCCTTCTCTTGTGCACTGTTGTAGTTGTCTCAGAGTGTGAATGAAAAAGCTGTGGCTGGCTGGATCCATCTCCTGGGCACTTGGGGCTCTTTGGTCACTGTGGTGCTGCCTCCAGACTAGAGCCTGAGCAGAACATGGTGAGACTGAGTGGTTTTCAGCTTTGTTACACAAAATGCTTCCAAATTGTGTGAACTTCCCTCCCAGGCACCGCTAACAACCAGATGCTGAGCTGAAATGTGGCAGAGTTTGAAGTGAGAGAGGGGAGAAGGAGGAAGGGCACACAGAAATTCCAGGCTTTGTGGCTGTGGGAAGGAGAAGCACCATTAGTTATTGCTTAGTTGATAGAAGGAGTCAGCACAAGAGGAGGCACAGAAGCAGAGGGGACATTTGGCTTGGCTGTGCTCTGGCAGGATCTCCAGACACTGTCACAGCCATCCAGGTAGGGATCTGATGTTTGCTGCTTGTCCTGGTGCCACCTGCTACAGATGGCTGCCTGACAGAGCACGAAGGTTTGCTTGTCACGAAGGTTTGCTTCCTGAGCTCAGCCCCTTTGAAACTCCAGCCCTGCCTGTATTTTTCCCTCTGAAAGTGGAGGCCAGGTTGACAGCCCCGTGTTACTCCTTATCCTTACACTGGCTCAATAATCAAACTGAGGTGCTGCAGGTTTGATTGTCCCCAGTTCTCTGTCTCTCTGCAGGTCTCTGGTTGCTGATCCAGCACCACACCCCAATGAAGAGAATTTTTGGCTGCTGTGTGAAACCTGCCTGAATTTTTAAGCAGCTCAGAAACCAGAGCTCCTTAAAAAAATCCTTTCTGGAGCTGCATTGTACCTCATTGAGTTAAAATGAAATTTGTAACAGCACAGTTGCAATCAATACCTCTTGGCCATTTTTCCTTTAAATGGGAGATGAGCAGGAGCCTGTGTAACACAGCTGGGAGTGATGGGGGGATGCTGCCAGCTGCTCTGCCAGCCTGGTGGTCCAACAAGTGACTGATGTCTTCAACCCAGAATTGTGAAAAGTAGCACTGCAGGAATCAATGAGAATATTATTTTTTTGAGGGAATGATAGACTCTACCGAGATTCCTATTGATTTTTTGCCTCTCTAATGACTTGTACTACATGCACAATCGGGCAGCTCATTATTATCAGGGGAGTTGAGGCTGGATTTCTTGATGCTGACAGGTCTGCTCACAGCACACAGCATTATTCTTCTGGGACATTTTGGAGGTATGGATAGATCTGCCAGTAGAGAGATGCCATTCATCCCTCTGGAGATGGCCATGAAAAAAACCAGGGAGGCTGAGTTCAGTGTGAGCCGTGCTCTGAAAGATGAAATGGCACCAGGGCTGCTTTCATCACTTTTGTGAGCTGCTAACCAGCTTTGGGGAGCTCTGTGTTCAGGAGGATTTTGGGTGTACAGTTTATCCACTTACATTCACTCTTTCTTAATCTCATCCTGGAGGTGCTGGCGCAGAAATAATGCAGATGTGGGATCACCTCACTCTTTGTATGCCCCTGTTTCCACATCTGGTTGACCAGAGGATGTGGACCTGAGTGTTTTCTGAATAATAAATAAAATCCTCTTCCAGCCTGCCTCATTTTTGAGAGGTTAAGAAGAGTGGGTATCCAATCATCAACTACAGATTATTGACATAGCTTCCTATTGTAAATAATAAAAGCCCTAACCACTTTGTTAAACCTCCCTTCTCCAAATGACACAGATACTAAAAAAAGCTGGTAATTGGAATAGCAATAATAGGTTTGGCTTAGTCTTTGGAAGGAAATAGCAATTTCCTGAAGCTGGCAATAAAAATTATAGGAGAGTCCATTGACCCTGCACAGACATATTTTAAGACTGACTGCAATGGGATAAAAAATAAACACACAATTTAGAGCTTTCCTGAACTTGGGCAAAATTTGTCGAGAACCAAATAAACAACTCCTTAAGGCTGGACAAACCCATGGTTTCTACCCTGTGTGAAGCAGGTTACCAACAAGTTCCATGTTCAGCTCTGGGACGTGGGGAACTAAATCCGGAACTGCGGCCAAGGGGAGAGTGGTGATTCCTTTCTGGTCCATGCACCAGCAGCGGATAAAATTGTTCCCAGTTTGAGGTGCCTAAAGAACTCTGTTGTAGGGCAGCCCCCGTGGCACTTCTGGGGGCAGCAGGTCCTGCTGGGACTGGCAGGTGGCTCTTCAGGCAAGGCAAGCTCTGTTTGACTGCTGCAGAGTCATAATCATAGTAAAGGAAAGGGAAAATGGTGGGTGTGAAAACAGATGGATGAAAAAGCTTTGCTGCTTTCATTGTTGTTCATAGTCTGTAAACAGCAAGCTGTCAGTTTCAAAGGAAAGGGGGAAAAAAAAGATCATGTGGCTTTTTAGGTTGTGAAGATGCAGCTGTCACATAAACATATGTCCTGCTGCCCTCGTAGCCCTTTTCTGCAGAAAATTGTTCCCATGCAAACACTGAAGAGACAGAGGCAGAACTCATTTTGTTATCATCCATTTCACTTGAGTGAAATGTGCATTTAGGAACCTCAGTAATTAGTAGACAGCAGCAGCTCCTTTGCTTCTAAAATGAAAGAATAAAGCTATATTAAAAGAATGTTTTAAAAAGCCCTGGAAATCCAGGGGGATGCTAAAGCAGGCTCATGATGTGCAGTTTCCAGGCTGTGGGCAGGAGCTGTGTGGGCAGAGGGCTTGCCCAGCTCCTCAGCACAGGACTCTCTCCAGAGGGTGCCAGGTTGTGCTGATGGTAGGTGCAGGTCCTCCCTCCAGGAACAGGCTGCCAGCACCCTGGCACACAGTGCTCAAGTGTGCCCGTGCTGTGTGGGCTTAAAAATAGAGCCAGGGCTCAGCCTTGAGTGAGGGTACTCCATAATCTTCTTTTATTCATTGGTAAATAGCTTCAAAAAAACAAATTCCCATCAATATGTTGAGATAGGCATGTGGATGAGCTTTCAGGGTATGGAGCATGTTGGGAAGTGCGGGTTGGCTCAGGAGCTGCAGGATGTAGTCATGGAGTGTTTTCCTATTCCAGGATCTCAGTTAAAATTGTTCCATTACTGTTTGGCTGTAAAATGTCTGCCTTAACCTGGCAGTGATGCAGAGCTGAAGCAGTACTGGCATCTTAATTTAATTTATTCCTGTGAGCTCAGCTATAGCATGAAACAGATATGTAGGATATGTTGGCTCTCTGGATATCATTAGGATTGTTGTAGATATATAAGGCCTTGTAAAACTTCTGTGATATCATAAAATGGGAAATAAGTATTGCAGCATTTGAAAGGATATTCAGAAACAACCCAGAGACTGATTTTTGGGAAAATAGTTGTTTGTTTGGGTTTTTTTTTCCTAAAACTTCTATTACTATCTCTTTATTTAATTATTTTTCTTGTCATTGCTTTAGGCAAGCTGGATGGATCATTGATAATTACCAACACTGCTTATTCCTGCTTTGCTGGTGGCTAAAGAGAAGCACCTTGCAGTGATAGGACAAGAAGTAGTGTGTACAAATTGAAAGATGGGAAATGTAGCTTAGGAAAAAAAAATAAATAAAAGAATTGTCCCTGCCTATGGCACTTTAAGGTGCATTCCAACCCATTAACATTCTATGATCTTTACTGTGTACAGGAAAATGCCTTGAAGCAAAAGTAATATTTTTCAGGAAACAAACATGATTGTGGGAAAGTGGGTTTAGTGTTTTTTGGGAGGATGATTGGGTTGGTTGGTTTTTTTTTAATTGTTTTGGGGTTTTTGTTTTTTGTTTTTTTTTTTGGGGGGGGGGGGAATGTATTTATTTATTCTGTTTCTTCTAAAAAAGATTCATGCAAACTTACAATTCTCAGTATCAACCAAAGAAAAATAGAGTAAATTGAAAGGGATCTCATTTTTATGAGACACCAAAGAAATAAGCAGTGGAGAGCAATGGAATAATCAACCTTAATCCAGAATATTGACTAAATTCAAGTCTCTACACTTTAGCACTGCTGGGAGCTGGGAGCTGGTGTCTGTGCAGGTTCTTTTATGCTTTCCTTCCCAGGAGATGCAATTTGAAATGAAGTTCTGAAGTCCATGTCTCATTCCTGTAGCTGTTGCTTTTGGCAGTGCCAGTTCTCCTAAGAGCTGTGGCTGTGCTCAGTGCAGCCATCAGTGGATGCAGATGCAAACAGAACAAATTCTGTCTTCCCAAATCACCCTGTGGGAGGGTCTCGTGCAGGAATACACACATGTTCAAATGAGATCATTCTAGACTCTTCTTTTTCCAGCACTGACTAATTTCTCCAGCTTTTTGTTGCATTCTGAAGCCAGCAGGAAACAACAAATACACAAGAAAATTTTCCTCAACAAAATGTGAGCAAGTCTCCACCTACTTGTAGACTGCAAAAATCCTGTCTCTTAATTTTTTATTTTGCTCCTCATTGCTGATTTTCCAGCTCACCTTGTTGTAGATCAGAAACCACATCAGGACCTGTCTGTCTTCTGGTTCCCAGCACTATGTGCAGAGACAGCTCTGAAAGCAAATCTGAGTTTTTCCTGCTCCATGCATCCCAAGCAGCAACAAAGGGTTTGGATTTCCAGAATACTCATTACCTATGAGGCAGAGGGGAGTGGGGAGCTCTGTGTGCAGCTGTGGTGACTTTGCAGTGCCAGTGTTGGTGCAGGTTGTGCAGGGGAGCTGATTTTGGGGGGACAAAGGGGTATAACCAGAAATGTTTGCTGGGATGAACAGGGCTTCAGTCCCACTCTGGACTGGGAAATAGACGTGGTTTGTCCTCGAGGAGCCAGGAATTCCTTAAGAGAGTTTGAAGCAAGGTCAAAGGGAGGGTTTGTCCTTCTGGGTATCTCATTGTTCTCAGGCTGCACACAGTGTGGCTTATATCCAGATTGTGTGGCATCACAGAAGGGGATCAGAGGGAATTGCTCCTGTGATTCCCAGCATTTCCCAGCATGGATCCTGCAATCATCCCCTTCCTATGTGCAACAAAAGTGTGAGGAGAAAGGCACAGTGTGTGTCTGCTCCAGCCAAGGAGGATTTGTCACAGATGGAACAATTTTCTCCAAGAGCAAATTCAGATTTGCACAAGGTTTGTCCAGTTGTTTGAGGATGGAAGGAGGTGCTCAGCAGTGCTTTGCTGGGCTGTTGTTTCCAGAGTACAGACAGCATCCATATTAATGGAGCATTGTCAGCTCAGTAATTTATGCTGGAATCATTTCACCTGACACGTGTAGAGGCATAAAGTGCTCTGCAAGCCTTGCAGCAGCTCAGTGCCTGACAGAGGCAGCTCTTTACCCAGGCAGCACATTCCCATTTGGATGGCAATCACAGGCTGGACAGCAGCAACCCCTGCCAGGAAGGGCTGTGCAGTGAGGAGCTGGGGATGCCACAGAGGTGGTGTTTGCAGCAGAGGTGGCCTGAGAGAGCTGCAGAGTCTGAGCTGTTTGTGAAGCCAAACACAACGTTCACATCCAAATCCCGTTTCTGCAGCTCTGGAGGCTCCAGGGTGGATTGAACACAAAGCTTTGGGTTTTGTCCCAGCTCTGCAATGAGGAGCTGCAGTGGTGAGGGTTGTTAGAACAGCTCGTTTGGCAGAGGCAGCAGCACAGAATGCTGGTCTGCTCCACATCCATCAGAGAGCTGAAATATTCAAATGACTTCTTCGGTGTCTGTTTGCCATGTGTTTAAATAAATACCCAATTTGCAAAATTTGCAGTAATGGTGCATGAAAATGAGATGTACAGTGGCGTGTACTTTTGACCCAAGGCTTGTCAGTCTATTACAGAGCAGGTCATTTAACTGGGAAATTCTATTAGCTAATCAGGCACTTATGTGGGACCCATCACTCACACATGGAGCGTGGAGAAATTTGCTGTCACTCCCAACTTTTCCACACTTAAGAGAACCAACTGCAACCAAGTCCAGTAGTGTGGACTTATGCGTGTGTTTTGTGCAACAAAAACTGTTGGTGGTACTTTCAAAGATGAAGTGCAAGAAAAGTTATATGTATTTTCAGTAGCTTTTTAAAGGAATGTGTGTTTACTGTAGATGGGCAAATTACACACTGTGATGTTTTCCTATATATTTTTCTTGTGTTTTTTTATTTTTCAGGAAACAAAAATCAACTGTGTCCGGCTGGCAACAAAAGGTATGTGGGTCTCTCTTTCCTGCAAAACACAATACCAGAAATGTAAAAACTGCAGTGGTGGCACAACTTGATTACAGTTCCTAGCCAAAGAACCAGCCTTTTTATTTTCTCTTTTATTTTATTTTTTTTTAAAGGAAGATTGCCAAGGCAGTACAACAATTTCCAGGACCACTCCACTATATTTGTGACTCTGTTATTTTTTTAATGCAGGGTATAATTCTCTGCCATTCCTCTTCCCCTCATTCTGTTGACAGCTTTTCTGTCCTGAGGACTGTTCTTGCTGTTGGCAGAACATCACTGAAAAAGTGACATTACCTTCCCATTCAATTTGTTCTCTCCACAACTGTACAAAGTAGATAAGAGGAGATCTCGTGTAAGCCTAACCTTGTACACAGCGGGGCACAATTCTTACATCATGCCATTTTCATGGTATAATTGAACAAACATTCCTGATTTTCACTGTGGTGAGCTCAGAACAGACCGGGCTGACAGGTCACTCACAGCAAACCCAAGGCAAACAGCCCCAGGTTGGTTCACAAGGTGCAGCTCCTGAGGGACCAACGGTGACAATGTCTGAGCTCCTTCTAAGAGTTTACAGCTGCTTTTAACAACTCTTCTAAAGATTTCAAAATCACCCCAGGGGCTACTTTTCCAGAAATGATGTCAGACACCAATTTATTTGTAACACAGAGTAGCTGTAAAAAGATTTCCCCACCACATGTTGTAGTCTGCCAAGGAGCTGTAGGGAAGTGCTGGGGTGCTGCCATGGGCTGTGCTACAGATGACTCTCCATTCCCAGACTTAGCTTTGCCAGCTTGTGCTCTTGCTGCTTTTCTGAAATGTGAAATACCTGCATGGCTGCCTGTGGAGGCTTTGAGAGTTCCCCAAAATTGGCAGGAACCCAGAAATCCTTTGAGGCACCATCCCATTTTTTCCATTCTTTTCCATCTGTTTTGATTTGTGGCAGAAATTAATGACCTCAAGGTCCTTTCTCCGGATCCCTTCTGCATCTGCACTTGCAGAGGAGTTGGGGTGGCTCAAAGAAACCCCATTAGCCACTGGAGAGCATTTTCCATCTCCCTGTGGAGACATTCCCAGGCTGTCCCAGCCAGCCAGACTGGTGTGGCAGTGACTGTGCAGCTCTTTTTCCTGCTCAGGCTCAGTAATGCAGACTGGTGGGGCTGTAAGCAGTTGTGTCACCACTGAAAGTTGAGGAGGAGGAGCCATTTCTCCCATTTCTCCTTCTCATCTGTGGCTGTGGTGTCTCCATACCCTCTTGTTCCTTTCCTGTTTAAAAGCTCCTTGTAAAATAATAATTTAATTCATTCTCTGGGTTACAAACATTCTGTGTGTCTCAGTCTCTGTGTCTCCTTCCTCTCAGTTCTCTCAGTTGGTAGTGATGTGGCCATTTCAAGTACCTGATTTTGGCTTTCTGGTGGCGGAGAGAACAAGAGCAGGACTGGGTGAAATGAATCCTCACAAGCTTTTCCAATAGCATAGTCTCCTCATGAGATCAGAGATACTGGATTAATTAATTTTTGGAAACCAGTAGTTCCTTCTATTTCAGTTGTTCATTTTTCTGGACTGGGGGAAGAATATTGTCATGCTAGCAGGAAAGATATTTGCTCTGTGAGTATTCAAAAGAAAATAACTTACACAGCTTGAAAAATCCCATTCTGACATGACCTTTTGTTTGCACTCTCTGATTTGGGTACCTCAGCAAAGTGTCCTGTAAGTGTTTGACCTTCAGTTGACTTCTGCAAACTGAGATAATTTCCATTAAACCTGTTGGGTCACCAGGAAGAGTCACTGAGCCACCCGGTCAGTGAGCCCCCTCCTTCTGTTGGTTCTGAATGTCATCTCTTTTTAGAAAAGAATCTCTTGCTAGGATTAATTTAATAAGAGATAAAAAAGAGATGGGTAGAGTCTGAGGATGTCTAGAACCACTGCTTTTTGGTGATCTTATTCTTTAGTTTTTTTTTTCTTTATTGACTTGAATGGAAAAGGACAAGAAATGATGGTAGTACTAGTGTTTATTCTCGCTGTCTCAATTCATATCCCTTTTGATTTATATCACTTTTGGTTCATATCACTTTTGATTTATAGGTAGATATCTTATTCCTTTGTGTGCAGTGCAGAAATCTCTGTGAAAATTCTTTTCCTCTTGCCCTGGCTCTGAATTGCAATACTGTAATTCCCAGTGCCTGGCCCGCAGCACGGAGCTGGAATTCCTGGAATTGAGGCAGGTTTAGCTCTCCAAAGGAGCCAGGCTGGGTGCAGTTCACAGGCAAGGGAGCACCACAAGCTGGGGTGTTGGTAACATCACAGGAGCTGCCACAGCTACAGCTGAACAAAGTGGTTCTGTGAGCTTTCCCACAGTTTCAGGTTTCCATATGTCCTGAGGCTGCATTCCCACTATACATTAATTCCATATGGATAACAGGACCAGCCCTTGGAGAGGGATGTTGTACCTGCTCTGCAGTGGGGAATGCACAGAGACACTCACAAAACTGTAATTACATCATGTCCTGATCAAAGGCTGATAGCTGGAATGTTCTAGATAACCTCCTGTGTCTGTGCTGTCTTCTGTCTGCTCATTATATTGATTATCCTTAATGGCATTGCTCTGTATTCCCCTTCATTTCCATTGGTGTTTTTCTGAGGATAGAATGAGCAAACCCGAAGTCTGCCTTGAACAGAATCATCAGAGCTGCCAGTGAGGATGCAACTGTGGTGACTTTGATAAGAATCAGGAGAAAAAAGAAACCCTGTTTTGGTGTCAGGCTCAGTCTCAGCATTAAAAGCTCTGTTTGAGTTGGTACCAGAGGGGGGAAAAAAATTTGATTTGATGCAAGAAAATAAATACTACTGGTGCCAGACTAAATGTTCATTTCAGAATAGAGGCCTAATTTTCCCATTCCTAGACATTTGTCACTGCAGCAGTGAAACGGGTTCTGATTTACACCAGTGACAGGAAGATTAGGATCGAGGCGTGTTTAAGCAAGGCAAGAATTCTCTTGAAGTACTGGATTAACAAGGGCACTAAACGTGAGTGTGGGAGTAATTAGGCAGTGAAATGTGTTAGGCATGTGTTACTGGGGGATTGTAACACATCCTGGGTGTTGCTGCAAGGCACCTGCTCAGAAGCTGAGTCTCTTTAATTACTCGAGAGACGCACGGGGCTGCTCCACCGCCTCTGCTCCAGCTGGCTGCTCTCTGTGTCCCACTGCCCCAACACCAAGAAAAGCAAAGCAGAGCCACTTTAAAAATGGTTTAGTCCACTAAAAAAAAAAAAAAAAACTTTGGAGCTTTCCCAGTTTTCTTCCCTCCTCTCCAGCCAGAAATAGGCTGCTCAGATGAGCCCTTTTCAGTTCAGCCCAGCTCTGTGCAGGAGCTGCTTCCCAGCTCTCTGGTGGTGCTCTCTTCATGATTCTCTGTGTGCTGCTCCTGCTTAGATGAACTTGATTCTCGTGATGGCAAGAAAAGGCTCTCAAATCCTTTTGTATTGGGTTGTTAAATGTTGGGAGGAGGGGGTGGCATCAGCAGTTCAGAGCAGCAGGTCCTCCAAAGCAGAGCCAGTAGGTTCCCAGCTGGGCCAGCTCATTTCCCTCCATCCAGTGCCTCCATGAGAGGCTGGGTGCTGCCTGTGGGAAGGGCCAGAGGCAGGGACTCACCATCAGCCCTTGCTGGGGTGACCTTGAATGATCCATCAGAAAGCTCCCTGTGTTCCTCCACTCTGTGTAGCCATCCCACACTTTGCCAGCATGTTAAACATTATGAACCTTTTGTATCTACGTATGTTATTTATTTTCAGATTCGTTGGTCTCAGATCTCTTGCCACTTCCCTCCTCACATGGGCTATTCTTTGTTTTTTTGTTTTAATTACTGGACTAATGTTATCTTTCACAGCATTAGACACTTGGATACATCTCATTAACATAAAACAGTCTTTAAAAATGTTTATAATTAAACCTCAATTTACCAGCTCTCTGCCATACAATTTTCATTCAGAAGGGTTATTTATAGGTTTTGCCATTTGGTTTCCTTGACAGCATTTGTTTTAATATGTCCCATTCTTTCTGAATTAACTGACTTGTTCTCCCTGTCTTAAAGCAACATATTTATATCGACACTTTATTAGAGAAAATTGCAACCTTTTACCAAGAGAGAGCGATTACCTCTTGTATTCCTAAAGTGCATTAAATTAATTTCACAGTGTAATTGAAACCAAGGCAGAGGGCTCATTAATGGTTCCTTATCTCCCGATACTCATTTCTTCTTTCCTTAAAATGTGAGTTCTTGCAAATGAAAGAATGGAACTATAATAACCATTATGAGGTACATTTTTATTTTTTTTCCTTTTTTTTTGTCTCGTGCATGCTGCCTGGGAACCATTTTGCTTGTTCTTAGCAGTGATAGGTAGACAACAGGTGACCACGCGAAACCCGCCCAGCCTCTTGAGCACAGGTGATTATCAGTTCAGAAAAAGGAAACATGGTCAGACTTCCAGAGGTCTGAGGAGCTTCATGACTTCTTGTTTAATACTTGCTTTGCATGAGAAAATACTTTTACAATTGCTCCAACTAGAGTGTGAAGGAGGGCAGTGCTTTCATGGCACTCCTTCAGTGCCGAGGTGGAGATCTGTCTGTGCTGAGGGTCAGCTGAGGGCTCAACACCTCTTAAATCTTCACAGCAGCACCTGAGTGTGATGGCAGAGCCCCATGGATCCCCTGAGTGCATGGAGCTGAGCTTGCATTTCCAGTTAAAGGAGCTGTGCCATTTTCTGGGGCTGATTATTGTGTATATTCATAGACAGCTGAGTCCTGCTGTTGGAGAAATGGCACCAGGAAAAGGAAAACTTGATTCTGTAAGCTCTCTGTAGAGGAACAGAGGAACTATAGAAACTGTAGTTTCTATAGAAACTTCTGCTGGAGCCAGAGATGCTGCAGAATTAAGCCTCAGCAGCACCAAGTCACTCACAGTGGGGAGGTTCAGAACCT